AACATGTTTAAATAAATATAGAAAAGTGAAAGTTAATATAGAAAAGAAAAAATTAATAAGTTATATTTGAGTTTTTTTATAATTTTATAATATATATGTATATATATATATATATATATATATGTAAAAAATCAACCGATTTAATTGAAACCGACCGATCTAATTAGAACTGATCGATCATAATTTGGATTTTCAAATATAATTGGATCAGATCGGATTGAAAACTTCAATATCTAATTTGGATCGGTCAGTTCTCGAATAGCAATCTAGAAATGACCAAAATCGAGTCAAATTACTGAATCGACCAATATCCAATTACCCATATGATTAATCATCTGATGACCATTAAGTTATCCAACTATCATCCAATTAATTTGTTTTCAAATTGCTTTAATTTAATTTGTTTTGTGTGAGGTTTTGAATTTTTAATTTCCATTGTGTTGGTTTTTATACATACTAAAAGTGTTTAATTATTTATATGATTGTTGAAGAATTGGATTGAATTAACATATTGGATGGATCGAATCTCATTGGACCATCCATTGGATATTCGATGGATATCCAATAAAAATATCTAATGGATGGAACTGAACCGATCCAATCATGATGAATGCTGATGTTAAATTATAATTTTTTTATTATAATTTAACTGAAGTTTAATAAGGAACTAATTTTTTTAGTTAATAAAATAATTTTTAAGATAATAATTAAGTATTCTGTTAGAACTCAATGATTAACTTATTATATTTTAGATTTTTTATATTTAAAATGATGTTTATCATGTATTTGATTATGTTTATCTGCAGTTAGTTATACGAGTTCACACATAAAACTTCAATAAGATGTACTCATGCACTTTCTACTTGTAATCTTGAATTTTAAGTAGTATGCATCAATAAAAACAGTACTTTATGCATAAAAAGTTGTTTTAAAAGTTTTTGTCAAATGCTATATATATATATATATATATATATATATACATATAGGGGCCCATTCAAATGAGAACTAATTAGTTTGTGGTAACTGTGAGATCCAATCTCAACCACAAATCAACGGATAAATTAGGAAATTAGTAATTATGGTAGTTTGAGTTAAAATTATAATTAGAGAGCATTTTAGGTATTTAAAAAAAAACTCTTCTCTCCTCTCTCATCTCTCCGACCTCCGGTGAACATTAATCCGGCAGGTATCAAGTAATCACAAAGATACATAATGTAATACCCATTGTGATATATTGTGATACCAACTATGATACCAACTCAAACCTTAAAAACAAAGATACACAATGTGATAACCATTGTAATACACAATTTGATATCCATTGTGATATACTGTGATACCTATTGTGATATACTGTGATACCAATTATGATACCAACTCAAACCTTAAAAATAAAGATACACAATGTGATACCAATTGTAATACACAATGTGATACCCATTGTGATATACTGTGATACCGATTTCACTGGAAGCCGGAGATTAGAGGTCGGAGAGATGAGAGATGAGAGAAGAGAGAGGAGAGATGAGAGAAGAGAGAGGAGAGAGGAGTTTTAAAAAAATACCTAATATACCCTCTAATTATAATTTTAACTCAAATTACCATAATTATTAATTTCCTAATTTATCCGTTGATTTGTGGTTGTGATTAGACCTCACAGTTACCACAAACTAATCAGTTCTCATTTGATTAGGCCCCTATATATATATATATATATATATATATATATATATATATTAGAAGAGTACTCGCAGAATATAGCGAGATATATCTCAATTTTAATGTTTTGTTTTATTATTTATCCATGTTGATATAGTACGGTTTTTAATGGTTTTGAGAAAACGATAATGTTTTTATTTTTGAATAAAATATAAATTTAAATATATCATAAAAGTTTCGGGAAAAAAATATCAATATTAGTATCAAATTTACTATTTAAAGTTCTGGTTTTTTGTATAATTTCCTTAATTCAATATTTTATTTATAATTTAATTTATTTTATTGGTTAATAATATATTTTTTATAAAGATAGTAATTAAGTATTTTGTTATAAATAATGATTATCCTAATTATATTTTAGATTTTTTTATTTAAAATGAGATGTTTATCCCGTATTTGATTATGTTTATCTATAGTTAGTTACACAAATTCAAAAATTAAACTTTAATAAGTTGTAACTACGACGCACAATTTGTTTGTGATCTTGAATTTTAAGTAATATGTATCAATAAACAGTACTTTATGTATTAACAATGATTTTTAATAGTTTTTGTCAAATGTTTTATAATATGTTAGAAGGGTACTCGCGCAATGCAGCGAGATATATCTCGATTTTGATGTTTCATTTTATTCATTTTCTCTATCGATATAATACGGTTTTACGTAGTTTTAGAAAACGATAATACTTTTATTTTGAACGAAATATAAATTAGAAAAAAAATGTATCGATATTAATATTAAATTAACTATTTAAAATTTCTTATTTTCTGTGTAATTTTTTTAATTCAATTTTTATTAGAATTTAATTTAGATTTAATAATAAAGTAATTTATTTTTGTTTAATAATATAATTTTTATAAGGATAATAATTAAGTATTCTGTTAAAATTTAATGATTATCTTAATTATATTTTAGTTTTTAATATTTAAAATGAGATGTTTATCTTTTAT